AGCAACGGACCCTCGGGCGACAGGCGCAGCAGACTCTCTGGGCTACCAGGACAGTGCGCCCCGGACTACAGGTGCTTCGGACGACAAGACAGCAGCCTCCGCTCAACCTCCTCCAACTGTCCCACTCACCCCCCACACACCCACTGCTTCACTCCTAACTCCACTTGCACGTCACCCCCTTAGTACCACTCCTTCGGCTCCCACACACCCACCCCCCTCAGCGGCAGCTGCAGCACTGGGAGACGGATGAGGAGGAGGAGTAGGGGACGACGCACAGAAACTGCACCCCCATACCCCCCACCCCCAAACCCTAATTCAGGAGAACGGGCTGCAGCAGGGGTGGGGCGCCGTCAGAAGCACGGGGGACAGCGGGCAGCGCAGGGGCAGAGAAAACAGGGCGCCCACGGGCCTGGCGCAGCCCGTACGAACCGCGTACGGGCGGCCCGAGGCGCGCCCTGGCCTGGCGCAGTCCGTACGGGCCGCGCGCGGGCCTGGCGCTGCCCGTACGGGCCGCGCGCGGGCCTGGCGCAGCCCGTACGGGCCGCGCGCGGGCCTGACGCAGCCCGTACGGGCCGCGCGCAGGCTGTACGGGCCGCGCGCGGGCCCTACGCAGGTCGCGCAGGCCGCGACGGGCGACGGGGGGCGACGCGCGGGTCCCCGTCGCCCGTCGCAGCGCCTCCCGGGAGCGACGCGCGGAGTGACGGGGCAGAAAGCCGCCGCGCGCCTCGGGGCGCACGGCGGGCAGAAAACCGCCGCGCGCCTCGGGGCGCACGGCGGGCAGAAAACCGCCGCACGCTCCGAGCGCGCGGCGGGATGAAAAATCCGTCGCACTCCACGGGGCGTGCAACACACAGAGTAGCAGTAGCAGCGGAAGCAGTGAGGTGGTGGGCCCACCCACAGGATCGACCCAAGGGGATCGACCTGCTCTGATAGCATGTCAGAACTAGCAGTAGAAAGTAAGAATGAAGAAGAAAGGAGGGGGTTCACTAGCAAGCAGTTGAGTACATATAGGAAACCCTAGATTGGGCTGTACTCGCTATAGAGTACCCCACTGCAGGCTAGACAAATACAACATTCTGACAGCACCAACTACAAACCGAACAACAAACCACTGTCACCCGCAGGACTCCAACTGTACCAACAGCAACTGGGCTGCCTGCTGTTCGCCTCTGTCATCTGCCGACCCGACCTTTCGTACATCGCCAGCCAACTGGCACAGTACTCCCGCAAGCCAGTAGCAGAGAACCAGCTGGACCTGGAGCGCGCCTTGCAGTACTTCATCTCCACATCTGACATCGGGCTCTCCTACTCCACACTGACGACGACCTCTTTCAACCTCAACGGCTACGTGGACGCAGACCATGCCGCTGATCCTGACAATCGACGGTCCCGAACTTGCTTCGTTTTCCGCCTGGAACCAACAGGACCAATCTCCTGGAACTCACAGAAGCAGGAGCTGGTTGCCCTGTCATCGGCTGAAGCAGAATACATCGCCGCGACAGCAGCAGTTCGCGAAGGCCTGTACCTGCAGGAGCTGTTACAGGAGGCGAAAATTCCAACCTCGCCTACCTTTCTCCTTCACTGCGACAACCGGAGTGCTATCAGGATCGCGAACAAGCCAGGTTTCGTGAACCGCACGAAGCACATCGCGCTTCGGTACTTTTTCGTCAAGGACGAAATTGACCAGGGAAAAGTTGACCTCGCCTACTGCTCGACTACTGAGATGGCAGCAGACTTCCTCACCAGGCGCCTGCCACGTCTGCAGTACAAGCACTGCTCCGACCTCACCTGAGTAGTCAAGCGAGTCAGCTCCTCCTGCGCCTAGGAATGAAGGGGAGTGTTACGAAATGAAGTTTCATGAGAAGGCATTCCTGTATGCTGCAGGAGCCGACTCTACCGAGTACGAAGTCGAGGAGTCAGAAGAGTCGAAGCGACGCAGCAACCGTCTGACCAAGACCGATGCAGGCAGAAATTTTTGAAGTAAAAAGAGCGGGAACAGGTTCAAAACGGGTTCCCGCGCCGCACGGTTTGAATTCGCTGCAATAAGGGAATGTACCTCTTAGAGTACATGGCTAGTCTAGGACCTTTCGTATTCCTCTGTACTCTTACCGTCATCGCCCGGATATAAGACAGTGTTGAATAGTAGACATGGGTTGTCTATTATACGGGTGTCTCTTATAAACAGGCTAGCCTTTTTATACGACACCTATTTGTGTGTACAAGATAAGACATATGTGTCTTATAATCGAAACTGCAATATATTATAGTGAAAATTGAAATACCGCGTACATTTTAACCTTGCGACAGATGAATTTTGCCAAGTGCTGACTCACGTACTACCAAATCTGCCTCTGCAAGTATTCGGGATGACGTGGCGTCCCGAACAATGGTTGCCGAAGTGGCACCTTCGCAACATCCACACTCTTAAAACCGAAATGCAAAATAGTGAACCCGGGGCCAGCTTGAAAGGGGGCCTGCCGAGCGAAACAATTTTCTCTCGTTTGCACTGTTCCTTTGGGAGCATTTTTGCAGATCGAACAGATCTGATTGGTTCTCGCCAAACCCAAAAAAAAGGAAACACAGCACGTCAGGCGTCGCACATCTGTTTGGGAAGGCGCACACCTCTAGCACCGCGATCGCCCACGCACGTCCTTGCGATTTTGGGCCCAGCTTGGGGTTCAAGTTGGGCCTGGGTGAACTACTAGTTCTTCCGATCATACATCTCTGTTTTTTAGTTATAAATAGCCTGCCTAGCCAATGAACCATCAACTTAGGCCGTTGTGGTTTCAATTTTGACGCACAGTGAAGCTGGCATGGTTGTGCAGTACTTTGTGCCATTTCGAACGCACTCTCGCCGCCTTCCCATCGATTCTCGCTCGCCCTCCCGTTCCGATCATCCTCGCGCCGTCCGTTCCGTCGTTCGTCCCGTCGCCGTCCCGTCGCCTTCCCGTCACCGTCCCGTCGCCGTCCCGTCGCCTTCCCGTCGCCGTCCCGTCGCCCTCCCTCTCCGTTCGCCCTTCAACTCTCCGTTCGCCCTTACCCTCTCCGTTCGCCCCTCCCCTCTCCATTCTCCCTTCCCCTCTCCGTTCGCCCTTCCTCTCTCCGTCGCGCTTCCCCTCTCCGTTCGCCCTTCCCCTCTCCGTTCGCCCTTCCCTCTCCGTTCGCCCCTCCCCTCTCCGTTCGCCCCTCCCCTCTCCGTTCTCCCTTCCCCTCTCCGTTCGCCCCTCCCCTCTCCGTTCGCCCTTCCCCTCTCGGTTCGCCCTTCCCCTCTCCGTCCCGCTTCCCCTCTCCGTTCGCCCTTCCCCTCTCCGTTCGCCCTTCCCTCTCCGTTCGCCCCTCCCCTCTCCGTTCGCCCCTCCCTTCTCCGTTCTCCCTTCCCCTCTCCGTTCGCCCCTCCCCTCTCCGTTCGCCCTTCCCCTCTCCGTTCGCCCTTCCTCTCTCCGTCGCGCTTCCCCTCTCCGTTCGCCCTTCCCCTCTCCGTTCGCCCTTCCCCTCTCCGTTCGCCCTTCCCTCTCCGTTCGCCAGTCCCCTCTCCGTCGCGCTTCCCCTCTCCGTTCGCCCTTCCCCTCTCCGTTCGCCCTTCCTCTCTCCGTTCGCCCTTCCTCTCTCTGTGACGCTTCCTCTCCCGTCGCCCCTCTTCTCTCCCGTCGCCCCTCTTCTCTCCCGTCGCCCCTCTTCTCTCCCGTCACCCCTCCTCTCTCCCGTCAACCTTCCTCTCTCTCCTTACTACGTCGCTCTCGCTGTTCTCGCTCGAAGTACTACCGTGCCTGATTAAATTGTTTCTTTAAGGTGGCATTGGGCACTGAGAGGGACGTGGGTTATGCGGCTCTCTCCTTTTGGAACTACGAATTAACTTGGATTTATTTTCTGTTAGAAATTTTCATCGGGTGAACCATTCAGCCTTGGTGTTCAAACATTACTCACGCTCTCCCCGTCGCATCTCCCTCGCGCTCACGCTCTCCCCTCCCATCTCCCTCACGCTCACGCTCTCCCCGTCGCATCTCCTCTCGCTGCACCTCGCCCTCGCATTTGCTAGCGAGCCCCACTGTTATTCGGCTATCTCGTCCGTCCCGTCGCCCTGCCATAGCCCTGTCGCCCTCACAATCACCCCTCCCTTCATCTCGCCCTCACGATATCCATCCAATTCCGTCGCAATCGATGCCTCTGCTGCACTTAGTCGTATTCTTCAGTGTATGTGTGTGCTTGGGATCTTGTCTGTGCTGTTGCTAGATGTGCATTTGATGAAGTCACAACTCGTCAAATGGTTGCACTACCTTGCACGTCGCAGCTCTTTGCGCCAAATTCGCACATCTGTTTGGCTGCCAATCAAAATTGAGAAAGAACTTTGTTCCTTGTTCACTCCGAAACTTGTCTGGAGCTGGAAAAAAAACACACGCACAGTACTTCAACCTTCTACAACACTACAAAGAAACTTGGGTCTTCAAGTTGGACCCAACTAGAAGGGGGGGGTCACTATTTTAGCTGCTGGCTTTAACGAGAAACTCTTTTCAAGATGCGTGAAAATATTTCTAATAGTTTAAAAAAGTTTCCATTTATAAGACTTATAAGACACCTAAAACCTCCCCAAAGACAAGATAACCCAAGCATTTTTTTTAGTGTATGAGATAAGACATATATGTCTTATATCCGGGCGATGACGGTATATAAACTCGATGTATGCATGCTATTATCAACTCAGTCATTTACATTCACTCTGACCCAGGGCCTCAGATTCGTTTTGGGTGACCCTGAGCACTCAGGGTCCTTTGGGGCTGTAACACTGATCATCAGGGTTGTAAATGGAGAAACACTGATTTCTCAGGGTTAGAAAAAAAAAAAACCCTGACACATCAGCGTGAGTTTTAAAAAAACACTGGCGGTGAGAATCCACAACAACTATCACAAGTATAATAAGTTAAGAAAAGTTCAAATATGGTTCTAATGAGCTTCTAATCTAACTACAGGCACAGACCACTTGGCGCTCACACCGCACACACAATTCACATCACACACATGTCTTCATCTTCGTCACTACCACCACCATCGCTCATAGAACCGTGCCTGTGCACACGGGTCTCTGTCCCCCACCCAGAGCCAGCACCACCAGCATCATCCTCGTCCACCTTCTCTTTCCCCTTAGCACTAGGTTGCTTCTTTGGTGCTGCCACTGTTGTGATGGGCTTGCGCTTCTTGTACGCCCTCCAGATCTTCACCACCTCCACCCAGTCGGGCTCGTACGGCAGCAATGCCATGCACATGAGGTCCGACAGCCGCGCATCCTTGATGGCACCCCTCAGCCAGCTCTTGATGATGTTTTGACGCGAGAACCCCCGCTCGCACTCGACTGTGCTCAACGGTAGCACAGCGACAGCCATCCACAGCTTCACCAGGTTGGGGTACGCGTCCTCCCAGTCAGGAGACTTCAGCATCGCCGAGAGACCCGGGTAGAACTTTCTCTCGGACTTCGGGGCTCCAGCGAGAACCGTGCAGAACGTGCGGAGCTCCTTGAACGCCTTCTTCTTGTTGACACCTGGAGGGAGTCAGGGAGTGCGCAAGCACAAGGAAAAGAACAAGGTAAGCAAGGCTCACCAGACAAGTGGTGCCAGTATTTAGGTGCTACACAACAAAGCAGCACAAACAACGATGCACAGACCAAAGAGAAGTACGTACCTGGAACGATCTCGTCGCACTCTTGGGCCCTGAAGAGCGTCGTGAGGGACTCAAGGTGCTCCGTGCAGTCCATGGAACGCTCCTGCCGTCCATGGGGCCACTCGTCGGGCATGAACAGCTTCACACCGCTCAGCTTGTCGAGTGAACCCAATCGCTCATCCAGGTTATGCACGAGCGCCTCCGCCATCGCCGTGCACTGCTCCACGCATCGCTCATGGGTCCCTGCAATGGGGTAGCCTTCAAGGGGGGAATCATGCAGCACGTAGCAGTGAGAAGTGGGCCGGCCGTCGGAGTCAACCCACTCGACCTCCACTCTCCGCACCCCATTCGGTCCATGTCGTGCAATGAAGGGCGACAGCTTCTCGCTCAGGCCGCCGCCGAAGTCGTCGCCACAATCCACATAACGGCTGTTGATGTGGGTTGTCGTGCGACGGATCTGGCCTTGAACGTTTCAAGGGCCTCTTCGTAAATCAGAGTGGTTAGTGACGGTTTTTTAGAGTTAGATGGCGTGGGCGTAACGTGGTTTACCGACTCGCCGGCATCAGCGAGAGGACGTCCAGGATCTGTAGGATCGGCCCAACGGAGCACGGCCTGCTTGTAACGAGGCGGAGGCTTTGACGACGACGCACGAGATGGCAAGCGGACGCTCGGTCCGGCTGCTGACGGCACGGCCGGCTTAGCAGTATGCGCAGGCTGGGGACGATCGTCTCCGCGGCAGAGGCCAGACGCTTCACCAGTGTTTGCTACTGAGGCGACGGGACCTGGCTTCTCTTTTTCATGGGAGAGCGCGGAAACTAGAAAATCTAGTCCCGTTCTGGCCTCCAGCATCTCGGTGGCGGCGTAAAGTGCATCGTCGTCATCATCACCGCAGCTGTTCTCACCGGTGATCGCCATGGCGCGTTCACGTCACCTTCCTGAATCGGTGAGTAGTAACGAGAAACCCTGGGAGAGAGAGAGCCTGCCGAGCAGGCTTCAGGGAGACTGCAGAGATTGATGTTTCGGAAAGGGATGGAGTCTGGAGAGCTGGAATGGCAGAATCACGAGACCCCCTGCGTGGGGTGCCTGAGCGGGCCGCCCCAGCACGCCATGCCTTGGTGGAAAGAACAAGGCAGACCACTGGCCCACTGGGCCACTAGGCTTGGTTGTTTGTGCACATCAATGGAAAGTAATGACAAGTGTAGGTTATCCAACGTGACAACGGTACATTGCTTCAGCTGGGACAGCCAATCTCTTTACGCCGTTTTGCCAACACAGCCCGAAATTAACCCGTTCAACTGTATCTGGGCGCGCCGCAGGGTGGCGTCGGTGCAGGGTGGGTTCATGCATGATGACGGCGCGCAAAACTGCGAGAATCACGGAGTTTTCGGTTTCAGGGTCGTCTCCGATACAACACTGACTCGTCAGTGTCGACAAACTAGAAACACTGGAAAATCAGGATTAGGAAAAGAAAAACACGGATTCATCAGGGTTGTAAAAACATAAAGGCTGATTCATCAGGGTTACAATAAAAAACCGGGGTCAAACATCAAGAAATCAGGGTAAAATTCCTGGAATCTGAGGCCCTGCTCTGACCTGAGATTCAAACTTCCGCTGCAACACTACTTTGCGATCAACCCTGAGCGATCCTTCGCTAAGTCCCCTTTGGGATTGTAACAAGTACAACCATGAACAGTACTTGCAAATGTATACAAAAGTTTAATATTTTGACTCCAAACACACGATTAACATCTGCTACGCACAATCCAGCATGAGACCCAGGGACGGCACCCTGGAGGTTGAGACCAAAACTGATAACACTACACGAAGTGAGCCACTCATCACAGCTTCTTCCAACTCCCGCACAGTGCCTGCAGGTTTTTGTCATGCCATGCCTTCATAAATCGGCCATGCGAGAGAAGATGAACCATCTCATCATGAGCCATAGTTTTACTCATTGGTCCGGAGTTGGTTACGACATAGAAGCTGTAGCGCTTGCGGCGACCGGCCTTGTCACTCGTGATGTTGATAAAAGGCATTGGTCCGGCTGTTGACGGGTCAGTGCAAGATGCCATTGGCATGCTCACTCTAGGAGCCTTTCCTTCAGATTTGATGTTCAAGACTTGGAGAACATAGTGGTGATAGTATGACGTTGCAGAGTACCTGCCACGAGCGCATGGCAAGAGATAGTGGGCAAGAATGGGGAGTGTACTTGGGACACCACCTGGGAGATACGGAACATGTGCTCATAAGGGGCCCACCTGGGTCGTGAGTGATTGTAGATTTTGATTAGCACTAGAAGTGTGTCGCGGATGCTTACCTGACCACCTTGAGAACCACTTTTCCGGATGCGCCTTTGTCGCCAACTATTTTTCCGTTGACCTTGGTGGGACGCAGGTTGACCACATACTTCACTGGCAGTTAGCTTGGCAGGGATGGGGGCAGTGGACGGATTAGAGCAAGTACTAGTAGAAGTAGAAGAAGTGCGAGCCGCAGGCTCAAGGACGTCTGGGAATGCACGCTAGTGATGAATGAAAGATCCCCATGATGGTTGCCATTGTGCAAGTTAGCAGCACGTCACGGTTTCATCTGACGTGCGAATAGAACATCTCCACAATGTCACTGTCCCCAGACGGTCCCAGGGGAGCCTTTGGGAACACTGTCGAGACACGTGCAAAACTCACCCCTGCTAAGAGTCTTTTGGAATCAGGGCAAACGAGTCCTTAAACAGACTTGGATGTACTCAAAGACACTTGCACGACAGTTCGGGGACAATCGGGGAAGACACAATTGGGATAGCAGGAAAAGCAATAGTACTAGTACATAACTAGCAGTGCCGGCGCGGCGGCATAAAGCTGCGCAAACTTACTGGTGGTCTTTCCTTTCGACACAAGAGGTCTGGCATGAGCGGCAGACGCAACAGAAGCCGCGCTGCGGCCTTGGGGACGATCTGGTAGGAGAAGTGGCCCGTGCGATGCGGACGTGGCGCCGGCAGTGAAGACCGTGAAGACCACCACACCTGGCGGACAGGCACTGAAACATCATCATGAAGTGAGCATCATCATGAGGAGCTGACACAAAGCTGCACGGTTTCTTCTGTGGTGCAGTGCACCAACCAGAGCCGGAATCGATTCTGCCATTGTGTGGTGTGACGCGCCGCAGCCACGGCGCTGTGACCAGGTTACAGGAGTATATCACCGAGAGGCTTTAAGCATAAGCGGTGCTTACTACAGAGCAGGATGACAGACAGAGATGCCGCCGCGGGCATGTTGTCACGGCGGTATTATACAGGAAAAGGCGAGGCGACTCGGGAATGAATCTCGAGGGTCTGGAGTTTCTCCTACTGGCAGGTTGATAGCCTCGGGACGGGTTCGGAACGAAGTACGTTTTGCTATCACCCTACTTAACCATTCTACGCAAGTTAGTAACCTTGAACGCTTAGAAATCAAGATTGTATTTGGTGATATAGCCGCGTCATTTATTTGTCCTTTCGGTATCCGACGTTCAACGTCATAAGTTATGCTTCACCGAATTGGGATGGGAGGCTTCGTCTTGAGTGACAAGACAACAAGCCCAAGCTGTGCTGTGCTTCGCTAGCCGGGCCTCGCTTTAGCTGGGCCTCGCTTTGCTGTGCCTCGCTCTTTGGGTGCCACGCTTTAGCTGTACCTCGCTAGCTGTGCCTCGCTTTAGCTGTGCCTCGCTGTTTTAGGTTCCACGCTTTAGCTGTGTGCCTCGTTAGCTGTGCCTCGCTTCAGCAGTGCCTCGCTGTTATGTGTGCTTCGTCGGAACAATGACGTGTCCGTGATGGCAGAGGGCCCGTTCCCAATGTCGCATTCCGTCGACTTGTCGCGAGTTTGGAACTCCACACAAAGTGGCTAAGAGCGTGTTAGGTACCCCTCTTTTCGGCGGCTGATCGGGTGGCATCGGCTGGTCGGGTTGGGTAGCAGATTATTACAATTTCAGTTGGCATTGCGAACGTGGGTGAACACGCCCGTAACAACCCGCCAAAGTAGGGTGGTGACAGGCACGATCTTCTTCCCTAGTGTTCGGCCGTTGGCGAGGGATGTTCGTCACTTTTCCTAGGAGGTACCTATGCACAATGTTTACATGGTGTACGAGCTGTACAAAATAAACATGTTTGCTTACCATACCAGGCAAAATAATCAGAATCACGACCCCACGTCAAGTCTACTGAATTGATTTGACAATGTATAAATATAAACTTACCGCATGCTTACAAAATTAGATTCGCACCTCATGGAAAAAAAAAAGTGCTTTAATCCAACCACAGGTGCGGTGCGCTTCTATCATGGTATGATGCCAAGCTGGTGCGAAGGTGTGCTTGCTTACACAATATTGTCAAGCTAAGGTGCCCATTCACTGCTAGCTTGTGATTTCACACCACATACTAGCGTGGCATATACCTCTTTATCCACCGTCCGCTGCACGATACCGTAGCCCCATCTAACAGAATAGCGGCTGCCTTACTAGACGTCACTGGAACATAAATATATGAACATTCTGCATACAATATATTTCATCCGCAAGAAGGGCGTGCGGTATCCACGTGTCAAGTTATGATGGGCTCTGTCGAAAGCCCAGCTATTCGTTCCAAGAAATCAGATCCATCGTTGGAGTCCCTTGGAGTATCGGAGTTGACCACCTTGGATGGGAGAGACACGGGGCGGAGGGAAAAAGCAGGGAGTGGGGAGGGGTGAGGAAGGACGGAGGGGGTAAGGGAGTAGAGAGTGGCTCTTGATGGACCCTGGCTCTTGATGGACCATGGCATTGCCAGCAGTGCTTCTCGGTGTGCGTGGCCGATAGAAACGTGCAAGCGTTTGCTCACCTATACCCTGAAAGAATGATTTCCAGGCGACACTCACTAACACTTACACACACTCAAGTACACCCATCTTCACCACACACCCACCTCCCCACACACCCACCTCCCCACACACCCACCTCCCCACACACCCACCTCCCCACACACCCACCTCCCCCACACACCCCACATACCCAACCCACTCACAGACTCACCAAACCCAACACTCTCCCCACCCCACCCACACGCCCACCTCAATGATGCGTCTGTGCTGGGAAGGCGGAGGCACTGCCAGCGCTGCCGCCACCACGGCTGCCAGATCCTCCCGTGACACGCTCCCTTTCATGGTGTTGCCCTGGGGGATGGTGAGGGCACAAGGAGAAGAGGGGGGGTTGGGGATCCTCCCGTGACATGTTGCAAGGACACACTATCCCCCCTGCAAGGACACACTATGCCCCCTGCAAGGACACACTATCCCCCCTGCAAGGACACGCTTCTTCTCATGTTGTCGCCCTGGGGGCACCATGAGGGCACGAGGAGAGGCGACACAACAATGGGGGAGGGACGAGTGGGATGGGAGGGGAGGGAGTGCGTGCTCCCTCCACCACGGCTGCCAGATCCTCCCTTCACACGCCGCCCCTCATAATGTGGCCCTGGGGGGATGATGAGGGCTCAGGGAGAGAGGCGGGAGCTGATGGGCGCATGGGAAATGGAAGGGGGAAGGAGGGACAACAGGCACTGTTGCCACCGCCATGACAACTTCTCCTGAGCTATGCTTCCTTTCTACTGTGTCGCCCTGGCTTCATGGATGGGGGAATGGGGGGAGGGCTTCGAGAAGCGCACAGCGCACAAGCGCTGCCTGCGTATGTTTCCTTTCTGGTGTTGCCTGGCGAGATGTACAGGGGAAGAGGGGAAGAGGGGAAGAGAGGAGGACATGATAGAAGGAGGGAAGGTAAGGAGTTCAGTCAGCCAAAAAGAAAAACGATTCCTGCCTTATCCTCACCTGCCCCAGACCTCACCTGCCCCAGACCTCACCTGCCCCACTCCCCACCTGCCCCACGGCTCACCTGCCCCACAGCTCATCTGCCCCACGCCTCACCTGTCCCACGCCTCACCTGTCCCACGCCTCACCTGTCCCACGCCTCACCTGTCCCACGCCTCACCTGTCCCATGCCTCACCTGTCCCAGCAGCAGCCCTCTCTGCCGGCCAGGTTCATCCACCACCTTCCCCCCTCGCACCACCGTGCACCCAAACCCCCGCCTCCGCGCCTCCCCTGCTGCTCCCCTCTCCCCGTCACCACCTGCCGCCACAGCAGCAGCAGCCAGAGCTGCCTCGGCGTCTGCCGCCGCTGCCAGCGGCGATGCGGACCAGAGCAGCCCCGCCAGACCTGATGGGCGCGACGAAGCCCCCAGCTGGCGTGATGGGAGGGCGGGGAAAGATGGGGAGGTGAAAGGGGTGCGGATTCATGACAGAGCGGAGGAGGGAAAGAGTGGTGGACAGATGGGTAACAGAAAGGTTGTTGGGAGGATGGGACAGAGAGGGCAGGAAGGGTGATGGAGAGGAAGGAACAATCAAGCGTCCAAGCTTATGAAGGAGATGGAAATTGCTGCTTGTTTGTTTCCCCAGTGGCGCTACAGGCGACTCTTTCTCACTTGCCCAGCTTCCGGCTTCCGGCCGTGTGCCTGTTGCGCGACAATCGTGTGCCTGTTGCGCGACAATCGTGTGCCTGTTGCGCGACAATCGTGTGCCTGTTGCGCGACAATCGTGTGCCTGTTGCGCGACAATCGTGTGCCTGTTGCGCGACAATCGTGTGCCTGTTGCGCGACAATCGTGTGCCTGTTGCGCGACAATCGTGTGCCTGTTGCGCGACAATCGTGTGCCTGTTGCGCGACAATCGTGTGCCTGTTGCGCGACAATCGTGTGCCTGTTGCGCGACAATCGTGTGCCTGTTGCGCCTGGAATACTTACTGCGACAATTGTGTCGCCTAGAGAAGGAACCTGCGCTGTCCGAACCCACTCGATCCACTTGCATAACACATGTTGCTGCACAGTTTGCTAGCTTGTGGTACGAGCACCGCGAGCTCCACCCTCCACCCACCCAGCCACCCACCAACTCACCTGGGATACCAGCACCACATGCTCCACTTTGCTCCCCTGTAGCAGTTGTGCCAGCGATCCCAGCTGATTGAAGCAGCAGGGGGACAGGAAAAGGCAGGGGCGGAAAAAGAGGTGAAGGCAGGAAGGAGGCACAGGGTTATAGGAGCTAAAGTCAAGCAAAGAGCAGAAAGGCGTGAGCGTGAGAGACGTGACAGAAAGCAAGGACGAGAGCAGTGTGGGAATGCTGAGGGATGAGGGACAGCAAGGCAGCGGGGATGGGGATGAGTCAGAGGGAGGATTGAAGCTTGAATGACGGGGGGGACGGGGTAGCGAGGGAAGTGGGAGTGAAGTGGCTAGAGGCATTGAGCATGTGCTGTGCTGCTGGCAGCGACCTACCCGGCCCGTGACTATGACTGCCTGACTGCCCCTGAGCGCAGCTCGCACTGCTGCTTGTTCCGCCACCGACCCTGCTATGGGCTGCGGTGCATGGTGGTGGGATGGCGCGCATGGGGATGCGGGGATGGGGAGGCAAGGGAGCGAGAGAGTGACGGTGGTGATCATGGTTTGTGGGAAGTAGTTGAGGCGTTTGGGAAAACGAGAGACAAGGGCACAGGTTGAGAAGAAGGGAAGGAGAAGGAGGAACCACTGTGGGGAAGGAGAAGGAGGAACCACTGTGGGGAAGGAGAAGGATGAACCCTGTGGGGAAGGAGAAGGAGGAACCACTGTGGGGAAGGAGAAGGAGGAACCACTGTGGGGAAGGAGAAGGATGAACCACTGTGGGGAAGGAGAAGGAGGAACCACTGTGGGGAAGGAGAAGGAGGAACCACTGTGGGGAAGGAGAAGGATGAACCACTGTGGGGAAGGAGAAGGAGGAACCACTGTGGGGAAGGAGAAGGAGGAACCACTGTGGGGAAGGAGAAGGATGAACCACTGTGGGGAAGGAGAAGGAGGAACCACTGTGGGGAAGGAGAAGGAGGAACCACTGTGGGGAAGGAGAAGGATGAACCACTGTGGGGAAGGAGAAGGAGGAACCACTGTGGGGAAGGAGAAGGAGGAACCACTGTGGGGAAGGAGAAGGAGGAACCACTGTGGGGAAGGAGAAGGAGGAACCACTGTGGGGAAGGAGAAGGATGAACCACTGTGGGGAAGGAGAAGGAGGAACCACTGTGGGGAAGGAGAAGGAGGAACCACTGTGGGGAAGGAGAAGGATGAACCACTGTGGGGAAGGAGAAGGAGGAACCACTGTGGGGAAGGAGAAGGAGGAACCACTGTGGGGAAGGAGAAGGATGAACCACTGTGGGGAAGGAGAAGGAGGAACCACTGTGGGGAAGGAGAAGGAGGAACCACTGTGGGGAAGGAGAAGGATGAACCACTGTGGGGAAGGAGAAGGAGGAACCACTGTGGGGAAGGAGAAGGAGGAACCACTGTGGGGAAGGAGAAGGATGAACCACTGTGGGGAAGGAGAAGGAGGAACCACTGTGGGGAAGGAGAAGGAGGAACCACTGTGGGGAAGGAGAAGGAGGAACCACTGTGGGGAAGGAGAAGGATGAACCACTGTGGGGAAGGAGAAGGAGGAACCACTGTGGGGAAGGAGAAGGAGGAACCACTGTGGGGAAGGAGAAGGAGGAACCACTGTGGGGAAGGAGAAGGATGAACCACTGTGGGGAAGGAGAAGGAGGAACCACTGTGGGGAAGGAGAAGGAGGAACCACTGTGGGGAAGGAGAAGGATGAACCACTGTGGGGAAGGAGAAGGAGGAACCACTGTGGGGAAGGAGAAGGAGGAACCACTGTGGGGAAGGAGAAGGATGAACCACTGTGGGGAAGGAGAAGGAGGAACCACTGTGGGGAAGGAGAAGGAGGAACCACTGTGGGGAAGGAGAAGGATGAACCACTGTGGGGAAGGAGAAGGAGGAACCACTGTGGGGAAGGAGAAGGAGGAACCACTGTGGGGAAGGAGAAGGATGAACCACTGTGGGGAAGGAGAAGGAGGAACCACTGTGGGGAAGGAGAAGGAGGAAACACTGTGGGGAAGGAGAAGGATGAACCACTGTGGGGAAGGAGAAGGAGGAACCACTGTGGGGAAGGAGAAGGAGGAACCACTGTGGGGAAGGAGAAGGATGAACCACTGTGGGGAAGGAGAAGGAGGAACCACTGTGGGGAAGGAGAAGGAGGAACCACTGTGGGGAAGGAGAAGGATGAACCACTGTGGGGAAGGAGAAGGAGGAACCACTGTGGGGAAGGAGAAGGAGGAACCACTGTGGGGAAGGAGAAGGATGAACCACTGTGGGGAAGGAGAAGGAGGAACCACTGTGGGGAAGGAGAAGGAGGAACCACTGTGGGGAAGGAGAAGGATGAACCACTGTGGGGAAGGAGAAGGAGGAACCACTGTGGGGAAGGAGAAGGAGGAACCACTGTGGGGAAGGAGAAGGATGAACCACTGTGGGGAAGGAGAAGGAGGAACCACTGTGGGGAAGGAGAAGGAGGAACCACTGTGGGGAAGGAGAAGGATGAACCACTGTGGGGAAGGAGAAGGAGGAACCACTGTGGGGAAGGAGAAGGAGGAACCACTGTGGGGAAGGAGAAGGATGAACCACTGTGGGGAAGGAGAAGGAGGAACCACTGTGGGGAAGGAGAAGGAGGAACCACTGTGGGGAAGGAGAAGGATGAACCACTGTGGGGAAGGAGAAGGAGGAACCACTGTGGGGAAGGAGAAGGAGGAACCACTGTGGGGAAGGAGAAGGATGAACCACTGTGGGGAAGGAGAAGGAGGAACCACTGTGGGGAAGGAGAAGGAGGAACCACTGTGGGGAAGGAGAAGGATGAACCACTGTGGGGAAGGAGAAGGAGGAACCACTGTGGGGAAGGAGAAGGATGAACCACTGTGGGGAAGGAGAAGGAGGAACCACTGTGGGGAATGAACGCTTGATAGGTGCTTGCCATGCTGACGACGATGGTTTGCAACCGTCAGCACCCAATGATACCCACCAGCACCCTCCAGCACCCATCACAGACTGACCTGCACGTAGGGCCCGAATCCAGCAGTGGCCTCCTTGGCGTCTTTCACGAGCACCCTCACCCTCCTGCGCGCCAATATCAGCTGCAACACCACCATCTGCCAGAGAGGTGGGGAGACGGGGTGGGGGAACGGAGAGGAGGGTGGGAGAGGTTGAGGCACACTACTGGCACATGCCGCTCAGAGCACTCTCTCATTTGCCCTCCTGCATGCCACGATGTGCTGCATGCCACGATGTGCTGCATGCCACGATGTGCTGCATGCCACGATGTGCTGCATGCCACGATGTGCTGCATGCCACGATGTGCTGCATGCCACGATGTGCTGCATACCACGATGTGCTGCATGCCACGATGTGCTGCATGCCACGATGTGCTGCATGCCACGATGTGCTGCATGCCACGATGTGCTGCATGCCACGATGTGCTGCATGCCACGATGTGCTGCATGCCACGATGTGCTGCATGCCACGATGTGCTGCATGCCACGATGTGCTGCATGCCACGATGTGCTGCATGCCACGATGTGCTGCATGCCACGATGTGCTGCATGCCACGATGTGCTGCATGCCACGATGTGCTGCATGCCACAATGTGCTGCATGCCACAATGTGCTGCATGCCACGATGTGCTGCATGCCACGATGTGCTGCATGCCACGATGTGCTGCATGCCACGATGTGCTGCATGCCACGATGTGCTGCAGCACCACCATCTTGAGGAGGGGGGGGGAGGGGAGGAGGGAAAAGGGGAGGGGAGGGGAGGGGAAGAAAGGGGAGTGGAGTGGAGGAGAGGGGAGGGGAGGGGAGGGGATGGAAGGGAGGGGAGGGGAGGGGAGGGGAGGGGAGGGGATGGAAGAGAGGGGAGGGGAGGGGAGGGAAGCATGAGGCGCAGCACAGGTCCGTCATGGGCACATGTCCGTCATGGGCACGTGTCCGTCATGGGCACGTGTCCGTCATGGGCACATGTCCGTCATGGGCACATGTCCGTCATGGGCACATGTCCGTCATGGGCACATGTCCGTCATGGGCACATGTCCGTCATGGGCACATGTCCGTCATGGGCACATGTCCGTCATGGGCACATGTCCGTCATGGGCACATGTCCGTCATGGGCACGTGTCCGTCATGGGCACATGTCCGTCATGGGCACGTGTCCGTCATGGGCACGTGTCCGTCATGGGCACGTGTCCGTCATGGGCACGTGTCCGTCATGGGCACGTGTCCGTCATGGGCACGTGTCCGTCATGGGCACATGTCCGTCATGGGCACGTGTCCGTCATGGGCACATGTCCGTCATGGGCACGTGTCCGTCATGGGCACGTGTCCGTCATGGGCACGTGTCCGTCATGGGCACGTGTCCGTCATGGGCACGTGTCCGTCATGGGCACATGTCCGTCATGGGCACGTGTCCGTCATGGGCACATGTCCGTCATGGGCACATGTCCGTCATGGGCACGTGTCCGTCATGGGCACGTGTCCGTCATGGGCACGTGTCCGTCATGGGCACGTGTCCGTCATGGGCACGTGTCCGTCATGGGCACATGTCCGTCATGGGCACATGTCCGTCATGGGCACGTGTCCGTCATGGGCACGTGTCCGTCATGGGCACGTGTCCGTCATGGGCACGTGTCCGTCATGGGCACATGTCCGTCATGGGCACGTGTCCGTCATGGGCACGTGTCCGTCATGGGCACGTGTCCGTCATGGGCACGTGTCCGTCATGGGCACGTGTCCGTCATGGGCACGTGTCCGTCATGGGCACGTGTCCGTCATGGGCACGTGTCCGTCATGGGCACATGTCCGTCATGGGCACGTGTCCGTCATGGGCACGTGTCCGTCATGGGCACGTGTCCGTCATGGGCACATGTCCGTCATGGGCACGTGTCCGTCATGGGCACATGTCCGTCATGGGCACATGTCCGTCATGGGCACGTGTCCGTCATGGGCACGTGTCCGTCATGGGCACATGTCCGTCATGGGCACGTGTCCGTCATGGGCACGTGTCCGTCATGGGCACGTGTCCGTCATGGGCACGTGTCCGTCATGGGCACGTGTCCGTCATGCAGGCACATGTCAGTCATGGGCACATGTCCGTCATGGGCACGTGTCCGTCATGGGCACGTGTCCGTCATGGGCACGTGTCCGTCATGGGCACGTGTCCGTCATGGGCACGTGTCCGTCATGGGCACGTGTCCGTCATGGGCACGTGTCCGTCATGGGCACATGTCCGTCATGGGCACGTGTCCGTCATGGGCACGTGTCCGTCATGGGCACGTGTCCGTCATGGGCACGTGTCCGTCATGGGAACGTGTCCGTCATGGGCACGTGTCCGTCATGGGCACGTGTCCGTCATGGGCACCTGTCCGTCATGGGCACGTGTCCGTCATGGGCACGTGTCCGTCATGGGCACGTGTCCGTCATGGGCACGTGTCCGTCATGGGCACGTGTCCGTCATGGGCACGTGTCCGTCATGGGCACGTGTCCGTCATGGGCACGTGTCCGTCATGGGCACATGTCCGTCATGGGCACATGTCCGTCATGGGCACGTGTCCGTCATGGGCACGTGTCCGTCATGGGCACATGTCCGTCATGGGCACATGTCCGTCATGGGCACGTGTCCGTCATGGGCACGTGTCCGTCATGGGCACGTGTCCGTCATGGGCACATGTCCGTCATGGGCACGTGTCCGTCATGGGCACATGTCCGTCATGGGCACGTGTCCGTCATGGGCACGTGTCCGTCATGGGCACGTGTCCGTCATGGGCACGTGTCCGTCATGGGCACGTGTCCGTCATGGGCACGTGTCCGTCATGGGCACGTGTCCGTCATGGGCACGTGTCCGTCATGGGCACGTGTCCGTCATGGGCACGTGTCCGTCATGGGCACGTGTCCGTCATGGGCACGTGTCCGTCATGGGCACGTGTCCGTCATGGGCACGTGTCCGTCATGGGCACGTGTCCGTCATGGGCACGTGTCCGTCATGGGCACGTGTCCGTCATGGGCACGTGTCCGTCATGGGCACGTGTCCGTCATGGGCACGTGTCCGTCATGGGCACGTGTCCGTCATGGGCACGTGTCCGTCATGGGCACGTGTCCGTCATGGGCACGTGTCCGTCATGGGCACGTGTCCGTCATGGGCACGTGTCCGTCATGGGCACGTGTCCGTCATGGGCACGTGTCCGTCATGGGCACGTGTCCGTCATGGGCACGTGTCCGTCATGGGCACGTGTCCGTCATGGGCACGTGTCCGTCATGGGCACGTGTCCGTCATGGGCACGTGTCCGTCATGTCCGTGTCCGTCATGGGCACGTGTCCGTCATGGGCACGTGTCCGTCATGGGCACGTGTCCCGTCATGGGCACGTGTCCGTCATGGGCACGTGTCCGTCATGGGCACGTGTCCGTCATGGGCACGTGTCCGTCATGGGCACGTGTCCGTCATGGGCACGTGTCCGTCATGGGCACGTGTCCGTCATGGGCACGTGTCCGTCATGGGCACGTGTCCGTCATGGGCACGTGTCCGTCATGGGCACGTGTCCGTCATGGGCACGTGTCCGTCATGGGCACGTGTCCGTCATGGGCACGTGTCCGTCATGGGCACGTGTCCGTCATGGGCACGTGTCCGTCATGGGCACGTGTCCGTCATGGGCACGTGTCCGTCATGGGCACGTGTCCGTCATGGGCACGTGTCCGTCATGGGCACGTGTCCGTCATGGGCACGTGTCCGTCATGGGCACGTGTCCGTCATGGGCACGTGTCCGTCATGGGCACGTGTCCGTCATGGGCACGTGTCCGTCATGGGCACGTGTCCGTCATGGGCACATGTCCGTCATGGGCACGTGTCCGTCATGGGCTCGTGTCCGTCATGGGCACGTGTCCGTCATGGGCACGTGTCCGTCATGGGCACGTGTCCGTCATGGGCACGTGTCCGTCATGGGCACGTGTCCGTCATGGGCACGTGTCCGTCATGGGCACGTGTCCGTCATGGGCACGTGTCCGTCATGGGCACGTGTCCGTCATGGGCACGTGTCCGTCATGGGCACGTGTCCGTCATGGGCACGTGTCCGTCATGGGCACGTGTCCGTCATGGGCACGTGTCCGTCATGGGCACGTGTCCGTCATGGGCACGTGTCCGTCATGGGCACGTGTCCGTCATGGGCACGTGTCCGTCATGGGCACGTGTCCGTCATGGGCACGTGTCCGTCATGGGCACGTGTCCGTCATGGGCACGTGTCCGTCATGGGCACGTGTCCGTCATGGGCACGTGTCCGTCATGGGCACGTGTCCGTCATGGGCACGTGTCCGTCATGGGCACGTGTCCGTCATGGGCACGTGTCCCGTCATGGGCACGTGTCCGTCATGGGCACGTGTCCGTCATGGGCACGTGTCCGTCATGGGCACGTGTCCGTCATGGGCACGTGTCCGTCATGGGCACGTGTCCGTCATGGGCACGTGTCCGTCATGGGCACGTGTCCGTCATGGGCACGTGTCCGTCATGGGCACGTGTCCGTCATGGGCACGTGTCCGTCATGGGCACGTGTCCGTCATGGGCACGTGTCCGTCATGGGCACGTGTCCGTCATGGGCACGTGTCCGTCATGGGCACGTGTCCGTCATGGGCACGTGTCCGTCATGGGCACGTGTCCGTCATGGGCACGTGTCCGTCATGGGCACGTGTCCGTCATGGGCACGTGTCCGTCATGGGCACGTGTCCGTCATGGGCACGTGTCCGTCATGGGCACGTGTCCGTCATGGGCACGTGTCCGTCATGGGCACGTGTCCGTCAATGGGCACGTGTCCGTCATGGGCACGTGTCCGTCATGGGCACGTGTCCGTCATGGGCACGTGTCCGTCATGGGCACGTGTCCGTCATGGGCACGTGTCCGTCATGGGCACGTGTCCGTCATGGGCACGTGTCCGTCATGGGCACGTGTCCGTCATGGGCACGTGTCCGTCATGGGCACGTGTCCGTCATGGGCACGTGTCCGTCATGGGCACGTGTCCGTCATGGGCACGTGTCCGTCATGGGCACGTGTCCGTCAGGGGCACGTGTCCGTCATGGGCACGTGTCCGTCATGGGCACGTGTCCGTCATGGGCACGT